CGGCCGGGGCGGGGGGCTCCGCCCGGGCCAATGGGGAGGCGCCCGCCGCGTCCCGGCCAATGGCGACGCGCCCGCCGCCCCCGTTCTCCAGGTTGAAAGCGGCCCGGGAGCTGGTGGCCCGCCCTGAAGGCTCCCGGTCCCCGCGGGTGAGCCGGGCAGATGCCCGGGGTCTGGGTGGGTGCGGTGCGATGCGCCCAAATCTGGACTCCTTCCGCTCGGCCTACATCCTCTGGGAGACTGCGGGCAGGTCCCTTCTCCTCTCTTGGCTTCAGTTTCTTCGTTCGGAAAGAGGAACCAGCTCGGGTTTTTCCGCCCTTGAATTCTAATACCGTGGTTCTGCAACTTTCATGTGTGTAGGAATTGCGGAAGGAGGGTTTTTGACTTTACAGATCCGCGGATTCCCCCTCATTCTAATTCAGCGGGTCTGGAATGGGACCCAGGAATCTGCATTATGTATATGATGGTGTCCATGGAGAACACTTGGAGAAACACTATAATCTAACCAAATAAGGATTCAACGGTGTCACATCCCGGACGACAAACTTAAAAAGCAAAAGCAAAACAAAAACAAAACACAAACGCCGGTAGCTGTTCATTCACTTATTCATTGGACGGATATTTCTTAGGTCCCTACTACCGTGTCAGGCATAGTTTTAGGTCTGAGGATAGAAATGTGAACAAAAGAAACTCTTTGCCCTCACAGAGTGACATGTTGGTTGAGGTCCTACTGTGTGCCAGACACCGTGCTGAAGGCTTTACTGATCTTACTGCTCCTCCTGAAGTTGTGGGGGAGTACCGCGGATTTACAGATAAGAGCTCTGGCCTTTACTCTTACAAGTGGTGAGTGGGGGCTCGAGCCCCAGCCTGTTTGGCGTCACTCCCCACCCCCCATGCAAGTTTCTCTCCCTCACTCCCCACAATCCCACCCTGGACTGGTGGACTGGTGTAGCCTCCCTGGCTCCGAATCTACACCCCCCCCACTCCCTGCTGTTCCCTCTGCTTGAAATGCCACCGCCATTACTCCCACCACACACACACACACACACACACACACACACTCCCAGAGGCTATCTTCCCTCATTGCCTGCCTGCCTTCAGGAAACTAGATTGTTCAGCCTGACGTGTCCTCCTCCTCAGAGGCCCTGGGAAGAGTTACTGAGCTGATGATGGCTGTTGGGGTCCCCATGTTGCTCATGCCCCCTTCCCAGCTCCATCCTGGGGACTAGCCAAGCCTGCATCCCTTTGGCCTTGAAAATAACTGTCTTCAGCCTAAATGGCAGCCCGTGTGGCAGAGAGAGCACAGGGAGTGGAGTCGAAAGGCTTCTAGGAGCGTTTCAGCTCTGTCTTCCTTCCTGGGCCTAAGTTGTCTTGAAGATGCCTCCCAGCTCTGCCACGCTCTGCTTTCCTGGCTTCCCTGCCCCAGGCCGGAATGGGGGGGGGGGCTGGAGGGTTTCCCGTGGTTGCTGGGAGGGCAGACCCTTAAGTCTCCAGGCCCCAGGGTCTGCGGGAAAGTCTGTTCCCACACCTGGCTCCCCCACCCCCATTTGACCGTGACCCGGGCCAGGCTGAGCTTTGGGGAGGAGGAGACGGAGCCTGCGCGGCCCCCTCCCCATAGGGCCAGTCCCCCCGGCAGCCAGGGGCCTGGCTGCTGCTTCCTGAGCCGATGAATTATTGCCGGGAGATTTCCTTCCCTGTCTGCGCCTCCTCACAGGGGCTCCCGGCTCCCTTCACTTTCGCTTTCTCCCCCTTCTCCCCCTCTCTTCTGCTCTCGACCCTCAGGCGGCTTGAAATTCCTCCGTCTAGCCCCCTCTCCACTCCAGCTCGACCTGGAGAAGCCAAGCAGGGAGTGAACTAGGCCTGGAAGGCGGGGAGGGGGCTCGCTCGGTAGGCTCATTCATTCATTCGCTCCTCAGGCAGGTTTTGACACAAGGGACCCTGGGAGTAAAATAAAACCATGAATGAGACTGAGACGGGCCTTCTGCAGCCAGAAGGGGAAGACGAGCTGTAAACAAAGAATTCCAGGACAATGCGGTAGCAGCAAGCCAGGGTCTGGCATCAGAGAGACCCGGTTCCGGCCCCAGGTTAACTGCCTCTTGGAGTCTCAGTTTCTGGCTGGAGACCTGAGGATAATAATAGGACCCATTCCTAGGGCTGATGATGGGTCCCTGCGTTTATGCCAGTAAAACCGGGGCCTGGCGCACAGGGAGCACTCACACCTGAGGAGAGTTTGTGCTGGTGTTGGGGCTGGCCCCAGGCCTGCGAAGGGACTGAGTAGCTTTGACTCAGTTCTGGGCCTTGTCCCTGGGAGTGGGGAGGGGGCCCCTGTCACATTCTCAGCTCACCCGCACAGGGGCTTCAGGTCCTCCCGTCCTCTGTCCCTCACTCTGCCCCAGCCACACTGGCTGCCTCACTAAACCTGGAGGCCGCCTCTGCCTGGCACGCACTGTCCCCTGCTGTCCCCATGGCTTATTCCTTTACTTCCTCCCCCTCCTCCCTCAAATCTCATCTCCTCTGGGAGGCCTTCCCTGACCACTGGGACTAGAACAGCAACTGCCCTTCCCACTCCCTAGCACCCCCTGGCTCTCCCTCTCTCCCTTACCTGCTTTGCTTCTTACCATAGCATTTATCACTGCTTTCACTCATTCATTTATTCACTCGTCTACAAATGTTATTTGAGCACCCACTGTGTGCCAGGCACAGTTCTGGGAACATAGTGGTGAACACACCACATGTTTGTCTATCTCCTGTCTCTCTCCGCTAGAATATGAGCTTCATGGGGCAGGGACATTGTATTTTGCTCATCTTACTCCCTCCCCATCACAACCTTCCGAGGTAGGTATTATTATTATACCCATTTTACAGATGAAGAAACTGAGGTTCCGAGAGGAGAAAGTGACTTGCCTGAGGTCACCCAGTGGGCCAGTGGGGGAGCTCAGGTCAGTCTTCCCCAGCGCCACGGCCTCTCAGGCCGCCCAGAAGTGTGTGAAGGGTGAGCAGAGTCCGTCAGGTAAGAAGAGGAAGGTCTTACAGGCTGCAAGAACAGCAGCTGGTCCCTGCCTTCCTGGGAACTGAAACACTTGGAACTTCTCCGAGGCGCCAGCTTTGCACGTCTCTGAGCCTTTGCCCCAGCTGCCCTCCCTGCCTGCAGCGCCCATCCCTTCGGGTCAGACCAGACAACCTTTGTCCTCTGCCGAAGGTCACTGCAGCTTCCGAGTGAAGCCTGCTTTGCTGCTCCTCCCCCACCTTGGTGCAAAGTCTTGTCGTGTTTAAACACGGTATTTTGACCTCTCTCCCTTCATCCCTGATTCCCCACTCCCATTTCCCTCTCACTCACATGGCACCCACTCTAATATTTTTTTTAACTTAATTTTTTTTAGAGCTGTTTTAGGTTTACAACAGAATTGAGAAGTACAGAGATTTCCCATATGCCCCTTGTCCCCATACCTGAATAGCCTCCCCATTATCAACTCCTCCCACCAGAGTTGTATGTGTGTTACAGTTGATGAACCTACCCTGACACATCATTATCACCCAGAGCCCATAGTTTACATTAGGGCTCATTCCTTTTTTTTTTTTTTTTTGTGAGGAACATCAGCCCTGAGCTAACATCCATGCTAATCCTCCTCTTTTTGCTGAGGAAGACCGGCTCTGAGCTAACATCTATTGCCAATCCTCCTCCTTTTTTTTCCCCCAAAGCCCCAGTAGATAGTTGTATGTCATAGTTGCACATCCTTCTAGTTGCTGTATGTGGGACGCGGCCTCAGCATGGCCGGAGAAGCGGTGCACTGGTGTGCGCCCAGGATCCGAACCTGGGCCGCCAGTAGCGGAGCGCGCGCCCATAACGGCTAAGCCATGGGACTGGCCCAGGGCTCACTCTTGATGTTGTACGGTCTATAGATTTGGACAAGCATATACTGACATGTATCCATCACTATAATATCATACAGATTATTTTCACTGCCCTAAAAATCCTCTATTCTCTGCCTGTTCATCTACCCCCGCCCCAATCCCTGCAACCACTCATCTTTTTATTGTCTCCATAGTTTTGCCTTTTCCAGAATGTCACATAGTTGGAATCATACAGTATGCAGCCCTTTCAGATTCACTTCATTCTCTTAGTAATATGCATTTAAGTTTCCTCCATGTCTTTTCATGGCTAGCTCATTTCTTTTTAGTGCTGAATAATACTTCATTGTCTAGATGTACCACAATTTATTTATCCATTAACCTACTGAAGGACATCTTCATTGTTTCCAATTTTTCAATTATGAGTAAGGCTGCTATAAACATCCACTGTCAGGTTTTTGTGCGGATGTAAGTTTTTAATTCCTTTGGGTAAATACCAAGGAGTGTCATTGCTGGATTGTATGATAAGAGCTTTTATAGGAAACCACCAAGCTGTCTTCCAAAGTAGTGTGCCATGGGCCGGCCGGGTGGCTTAGTGGTTAAGTGCGTGTGCTCCGCTGCTGGCGGCCCGGGTTCGGATCCCGGGCGTGCACTGATGCACTGCTTCTCCAGCCATGCTGAGGCCGCGTCCCACGTACAGCAACCAGAAGGATGTGCAGCTATGACATACAACTATCTACTGGGGCCTTGGGGGAAAAATAAATAAATAAATAAAATTATAAAGTAGTGTGCCATTTTGCGTTCCCATCAGCACTAGATGA